AAAACGGTCACAAACCAAAGTCCTCAAAAGAGCATACAAAGGCAAGTTTATTAGAAGTCTAACAGTTCAACTATTCAGCATTCTGATAAACATTCATATACTTTTTTTCTTACTGTCCATAGGAAAAAGCAGAAGAAAGAAAAACTGGGAATTACTCAGTAGAGATAATGAATCAGACTATGGTTTGGAAATTCCAGACCCTCCCTGTTTTTAGTTATCTGGACAGGTTTAACTTACCCTTTTCTCTACCTGCTTTCTCTGTAACTACCTCTTTACAAAAGTGACGTGAGAAACAAGATCTTTGTTAATTAATATTGTCAACGTCTTTTAGGACATTCCTCCCTTTAAAATATAGTGGTTTCAATCTCTCTAGCTTTTTCTACATTTACCACAATTACCAATGATTTCTGTGATTCCCAGAATACCTAAGGTATAAATAAGTCCACTATATGCCAAAAAATGGTTTTATTAAAAAAGCAAAACTACTCTCTTCCTCTATTTTCAGATTTCCTCTAGGCTATGAAACCGTGGCCTCCTGGCCACTGAATAATCCTAACATATAAAGAGGGTTTAACAATCTAGAATACAAGGCATGCTCAAAGGCAGAATATATCTCGAGGGATGGTTTGTAATTGTCATTAACAAGACACCAAGTTCAGACATCACTGGGGTGGGGGGTAAAAACACACAAACAAAACAGTAAAAAGGCAATTAAAAGTCTTGAAAAATAAAGGTATCCAGGTGACCACAAAAAGTTTAAATCTGAAGAATTGTTTCTTAGCCAGTGACACAGGCCAAAGACCTTACAAAGGGCTGTGTTCTTCTAGGATCTCTAGCTCTGATTCCTCTTCTCTGGGAGTTGATCATGCCCCACTTTTCTCAGCATGTTAACCTCCCAGCTCTTATGTGAACTCAACTGAGAACTCACCTCTGGTCCTCAAGGGGCAGTCTACGCCCTCCGGACACGATCCCCAGATTATGATGGGGGGAATTCCTTTCTCCCCAAGACCTTACACTGTGAATTTTAGAAACTTATAAGCAACGCAAGGGAGGAACAAGCTTAGATCCGTGAATGAGAACCAAGGCTTCCGACCTCTAGTATTTCTGATCTTCTGCATCCTTAAGCCAACAAAAACAACGAAGGGGACTTTTTCATTTGCCAATCCACTTACAGGAAATTTTAGGGGAGGGAAAAGAAAAAAAAAGAAGACATTAACAAAAACAAAAACTAATCACCAAAAGCAAGCAAACCCAAGCATGCATCTAACTGCAACGATAATGCTCCACCGGGCATTTCCAGTGCAATGAATTATGAGGCAAGCGCGACCCTTGGACTGGCTTCTGGGTGCTCGCAGTACCCCCAAAAGTTAGGTGACCTCATAAACAAGCGCTTCCCGGCCCTCTGCGGTGGGCACGTCGGACACCTGTTGCACCCCCTGGAAGCGGCGCCGGAGCCTGGGAGGGGCGCGCACCGCGCTCTCTAAATAATTCAGGCGCGGCTTTCTCACACCTTTCAGCCCCGCTGGGTCGCAGGCTGCCCCGGCGGCGGGGCCGTGCGGGCGCCCGCGCCCCCGGAGAGGTTCTAGCACGGACGCCGGCAGTTGTGACTTTCCGGGCGCCAAGAGGGGCTCGAGAGTTCCGCGGACGAGAGATTAAGGTTCGGCGGCGGCGGAGGAGCGCGGCGACCGCGAGGGGGGAGCGGGCCGGCTCGGAGTCCCCGAGGCGGGAGAGGGGGCTCGGACCCGCGACCGCAGCTCTGCAGAAAGGACACGGCTCGTCCGCCCAGGCGTCGGGGTCCGAGCCGGG